ATTTTATTTACAAAATTATTCAAAAAATTGATTTTTAATTACATTCGAATTTTTTGTAATTTTTCAATTGTTTGCTTGTTTGTTTGTTTGTTTGTTCGTTTCGAATACGAAAATATTTACAGGTTGCCTCGAGTTTTGTAAGATTTATCAAACATGATTCAAACGAGACAAATTTTTTTTTCACACACAAACACAACCTGGTTGTTCTCTTTCTTCTCGTTTTAAAATATTTAGTGTGATAATATTCAAAGATACGTTTGTTGTTTGTTTGTACCTTCGAAAAGAAAAAATCATGCTAGCGTTGGTATTTTAAAAAAAAATTGACTATTCTCGGTCTATTAATTATGGCCTCGAACCGCCCTCGTTGAAGGTTAAAATTTTTTTTTTTAGTCATCCGTTAATAATTTTTTTTTTTTGGGAAATTTTTGGAAAATTGCTTCCATTTTCTCTCTCTCTGTCTCTGTCTCTCTTCCTATAATAAATTGTTAAACCAAAGTTAAATATTTTCCATTTAAAAAAAAAAAAAGAAAAATAGTTTTTATTTGGGTGAAGGATTTTTTACGTTAAGGTTTTATCTCTCTTTCTCTCTCTCTCTCTCTCTTTTTAACATTAACATCTGGATATTTTTTTTTTTTTTAGTTTTTAAATTTAAAAATAGTAGGTTTTAGTTAACCAAACTAGATGGATAATTAATGCGATGTTGCCAAGATGAGGAGGGTAAATGGTTTTGTAAGGGTGAAATATATATAAGAGAGAGAGGAAACGCTTTGAAAAGTTTATTATTATTATTATTATTAAATAACGAGTTCGTTTTGCTTCTGGCATTAAAAAACCTTCGGCCTCACCCTTAAAATATTATAAACAGGGGTAAGTCAAGGATTTTTTAAACCGAACAACAACAATCACAACAACAACAACAAAAATTCCTTCAGGCAAGGTTAAATACACTGATGAGATTTTTTTTTTTTTATCCTCGAGCTGACGCATCCTCGATTTGTTTTGTTGTTATCGTCACAGGTATAATAGTAGTGGTAGTAGTGGTGGTGGTAGTAGTTGAAAGATAATAATGATTAATTTTTTTATTATTATTATTCTTATCCGTTTTTTTTTCTTATATTGTAGAAAATGATTTAAATTATCAACAAAAAAACACAATTGTATTGTTATATCGATAGATCGATCAATCGATCGATGATTATTGTTTCGTGACGATGATTACGTTGTGGTGATGGTGGTGGGGGTGGTGGTGGTGGTGGTGAAACACACGATTTTATTACAATATGTCGTAACACGAAATTTTTTTCGTTTTTTCATTTCAAAAATTTTTGGCGTTCGTTTGGCAAAAAAAAAATTTTTTTTTATTTCACCTTCTTTAAAAAAAAAAAAAAACCATTTCCTGTTTGAATATTTTAAGAGTATGAGGAAACAATAAATTCCTCCTTCTTATTCTTTTTTTTTTCTTCTGCTTTTTCTTGCTTCCTTGTTTACTAAATGTAAATAGGAAATAATAATAAAAAATTTTTCTTTCTTTTTTTTCTTTCTTTCTTGTGTTTATGACAAATATTTAATTACCTTCATCGTTATACTTATTATTATTTCCTTCCAGGTTTTTGTTATTAACATTTTTTTGTTTTGTTTTTAATGACGTCACGTGTTTTTAAAAAACTTTTCCCCATTTTTTTTTAGAAAATTTTCCTCATTTTTTTTTAGAAAATTTCACAAATTAATTAAATTTTTTTTTTTTAAATAAAATTTTTTGTAAATTCAAGCCCTTAAATTACGATCGAAATTAACGGGTTATTTTAATAATTAATAATAATAATAATGATGATGATGATGATAGTCTTTGTTATTTTAAAGAAATAATTAATTATTAGAAATTAATTAAAATAAAAAAAAAAAATATTTTATTAGCACATGATTTTTTTTTTTTTTAATTACGAAAACATCAATTTAGTATCATAATTATTATTATCATTATTATTATTATTATTATTATTATTTATTATATTTTTTTAAATGTTTTATTTACGTGTTCAATGGCGGCTAATCCATTAATATCATCGTGTATATTTTTATTTTTTTTTTTTGTGTAGGACCTTGGCCCGACCGTTGTAAACACATTATTTTTAATATATATATATATATATATATATATATATTTTGGTCGTTATCATTATTTTTTTTTTGTATTTATTTTTTGTGATAAGAAAATTTTAAAAAAATTTTTAACGGTTTTTTTCTCTCTAAATTTCTTTAAATTTTTTTTTTTTTTTTTTTTTTTTTTTTTTAGAAATCGTTTTTGTTGTTATTTGCGGTCGTTGACCATTGATTTTCTTTCTTTTTTTTTTTTTTGTATTTATAAAACGCGATATACGACACACAATAATAATAATAATAAAATCATTTTAATTGTCATAGATGAGAATCATATGCGTTCATTAAAAAAAAAATTACATAAAATGTATCTTTTACAGTTGACGTGAATTTTTACATAGACTTTAATTAAAAAAGTTTTGTAAATAAGTGATTACGGGGTGATTAAATCGGATTTAATCATTATTATTATTATTATTAGTATTATTCTCCCACCAACAGCGATGATAATGTTTCTTTTTTTTTTTTTCATTTATGGCAACAACCTTCACATTAAGAAAAAAAAAATATTTTTTTTTTTTTAAATAACTTTAGACTTATTTATTAAATTGATTTTAAAAAAAAATACATAATCATAAATAATAATAATAATAATGATAAATTATTAATTAATTAATCCGTGACCCGTTTACAAAAAAAAAGCAAATTTTTTGATAAAAATATTAATGATGATGATTATTGT